GTGAATTTAATAAGTTTGACTTTTTGTTTCACTCTTCTATTCATTTTTTGTCACCTCACTTTGTATGGAAATCTTTGTAAGATTTCTTTGTAAGTATAGTATTATTGATATATTTTATGTGGTGTACTTTCCAGCTTTCCTACTTCCTTATTTCAAAGTCTACAACTGTTGATACATTAATCTTGTACAATTATACGGAAGGAATGTTGCTCGCATGTGCTTCTTCACTTTATCCCATAAGTATTTTACCACTTTAAGTCGGAACGAATTTTGGAGAAGTTGACCAACTTAAACAAGCTGAATATAAAAATCAGTGACAAGTATATTTGAAATATGACGACCCTTATGGAAGGTTTTGGTTACCGAGGTATCTGCAATATAAGAATTTTTAGCTTTGATACCAAATTAATACAACTTATAAAAATGATAGATTCAATACCTGTTGATTTTTAAGACTACCTAGGAAATTGATGTAAACAAAACTAGTTGATTCTCATTGAAGACCTAGAATTACTATAACTTACGCCATGAGTCTATTGATTAAATCAGAACCAAGCCACTTATTTATGATAAGCAAACCTAAAATACTAATAGGAATAAGGGAAATTAATTAAATTAGCCAAAAATTGGGGGATTATAGATAATTAACTAACTCTCTCATCCCTATACACATATAACCAATTTATTCAATTAAATACCAAATTACGCTCATCACTAACCACCCAACAGTTAAAGAAAAAGCACATGTTTCTTCATTTTCAAACTCTCACACCATAAACACCTTATCAAACAAGCAAAAGCACTTACGGAATGACATTATCTCTAGATAAAATCATTGATTTGAACTAAATATTCTTATATCCTTACATTTTTTTTTTTATTTTTTTTTACTTAGTTAAAAATGTTTGAGGTCGGCTTGTAATTGTAATTTGTGTTGATTGATACTATATTACAGTATTGTTGTAAAATGTTTTGTTGAATTTATGCCATAAAATTTGTAATATTGTTACAATAAAGGAGAAAATGTATTGTACATCTCGTGATTAGTTGATCACGATTGTTAGCGTGAAATTCCCAATTAGCTTAATATACCAAACAAACTAGGAATTTCATGCTATAATCATGAAAAACCACGGTAATCGTGTGATAAAACAAGTTGACACAATCTTTGCATAGTTTTATCATTAATATTGTTTTTTATAATTGATTAACTAGTTCGTGTGATTTTTCATGCTAAGTGTTGCAATTTCACTTCTATGGCAAAATCAAACAAACGCAAGCTCAACACTTCTAAATGTAATACAATAACATCCATAAAAGCACAAACGATCTCTAACGATTTTCAATACATGCCAAAAATCCGTTCGTCACTCTAAGTGTCGTCGTTTAGCGGAACACCCCAAAAGACAAGCCGATGGCACAACCTAATGGAACACCTAGCACATCTTGACAACACACCGCGATGGAACACCCTAAAGGCACACCTGAAAGACACGTTTTATTGCTCACCCCGGTGACACAAACCAATGACACAACGAAACTAGCTACCTACACCAATCAAGCAATGGAAAAATAAGGAAAAACAAACAAACAATAACAGATAGCCAGATGGCCGGCCTGGTTAGAAAAAATTGACCAAGCAACCTATTAATAAGACAACATTAACAAAGCCCACCTGGCATTGACTGGATCTCTTATGAATACCCCGTCCTAGCTCAAGACAAGACAAGGAAAATGATTATCTAAACTCTTTTTATGTCTAAAGCTTTTTCTTACTATACTGCTTCTCCTACTATATTTTTCATTCAAGAAGCTGATTTGGGCGTTTAAGGGTCTACGCTAATGAACACCCTCACCAGCTCTCTTGACGATCTTCCTTCTTTTGCAGTTTTCTAGGACATCTCGAGAAGAGCATTTGATAGGAGACTCTCGATGTTCAAGATATTCACGAAAGCAAATTTCATCTACTTTCTACCAAGCTACACATCTTTCACATCCCAAAATCTACATTAACCTAAATACTTACCTAATAATATTGCTGTCATCGTCAATCACACCTCATTTCTCTTATTCAGTCGTTGGTCCAATTTTTGGTATTGTTAACATGGAAAAACTATAAGGGTTGAATCTGGTCATTTCACATCTTGGACCATTGACTCAAGCGTCGCTCTGTTGACAAAGGAGTCTTGTCGAGCGTCGAATCAAGTCTTTACTCGCCTAGGGCTCGGGCTTCTGAAGCCTGCATGCCAACTTTGTCGGGTCTAGTTCCTTTCTTGCACACACAAAGGATGGTTAGAGGGGCTAACGGGGGTGCCATTGGCGTAGAGCTTCCGAGGCTCAAGTCAGACACTTGGTCTTTATATTAAGGCCTGAGACTAGAGCTAATTTTTAATGAGAACAGAGCTAATTTGTTGTTGGGCTGTGAGGGATTTTTGATGGGGAAGTTTCGTTTTTTAAAATATATATACTTACATAATATTAAATATTGTTAAGGTGCGTTTGTTCAAGAAATGTTATATTAATGGAAAGATAGATTATTTTGAAGATTATTGGAAATATTTAGAGAAATGTGTTTAGTTGGTTGGAATAAATTGGTGGGTATGTTATATATTTTACTAAATTACCCTCATTTTTAAATATTAATATAATATTTTTTTTAGTATTATTTTTGAATAATTTCTTTTAACCCCCTACATTTCAGATTTAGCTAAAACATCCTAGCAACAAAAAAAGTTTAAAACTTAACAAAAACACCCCCACGCACCCCAAGCCATTGCCGCCACTAGCGAAAGTGGAGATCTGGCCGTGAAACGATGGTTGTTTCACGACTAAATAGCTACCCTTTCACGACCACATATTTGGCCATGAAACGGCCATAGATATAGCCGTGAAAGTCCAAATCTGGCTATTTTCGATCAGAAACAACTTTATCGGCACACAACAGGACAAATATGGTCGATCGTGTGCCATTTTGTCGTTACCAATGGCCGTCGGCGGTGGTTTCTGGCGGTTGGCAATGGTGGCCAGATCTAGCCACCACCCTTGGGTAATTTTGTATAATTTTAGAGGTATTTATATCCTAAAAACTTTGTATATAAAGATAAAATAATCAATTGGTATTTTTGAAAATTGTTTTTTAAACAAGGTCATTATTGTCCTAAAATTTTATTTATAAAGGGTAAAATTGTAACAAAAATAGCTAAGTAATCTTAAAATACTTAAAAAAATTGAGGTAATTAGATTGCATCTTATATTACCAGCAGTAACTACTATTAGTATTAAAAGATTACCGAATCTTATATTACTTGACAACCAAATATGATAATAAAGTAATATAAGATGACATTACCTCAGTAATTCTATATAATCCCTAACCAAACCCACTCTTAAGGTTATTATTTTCCTTACCCCTTGTTAAAGGAGGATTTCATTTCAATTGAGAAGGGTACCATTAAACCCGAAAAGGCTACATGGTCCACTCTAAACCGAGCAAGCCCCCTTTCTAGTTCGCCCGTGTCTGTTATCGGTGGATTTACTGATTTCACCTCTAAAAAGGATAATGATTTTTAGCCCCTACATTTTTTATCAGAGGCCCGCACTTTTTATTTTTATTTTTGACAAGTTTAACCTTAAGTAACTTACTATAAACTATAAATTCTAATTACTCTCATACTTTATTTTATAATTTACGGTTTCCTTCTGTTTATTCCTTTTCATAAAATTTAAAACTCATAGTTTGTTCTTTCCAATTGCTTTAAAATAATAATAATCACTTTTAACTCTCCGTCGTATTTAATTTTTTTGGTGAAATCCAAATATGATTTTTTTATATTCTCATCTTTCTTTTTCCTATACAATGATTCACTCTAAGTATGTTTTTTCTTCTTAAACTTGAAGTTATCAACTAATCCATTTTTTCTATAAAATAAATGACAAAACTTCTGATTTAAATTATTATCACTTAGATGAAATTCTTTGGAGTAATTAGAATTTTCTTAGGAATACATGATTTTATACTCAACAGTTGTTAGCTGATGGAAGAAGTATAGAAAATATAGAAAATCTATTTAGTAATTAAGAAGACAAAAACTTGAGTTTAGGAGACTTAAAAGGAAAAAATGAAAATTAAATATATGGATATTTACTATCTTTAATTATAATTGTAATATTTCGATGAATCTTTACAAACTTTAAACAAAAATAAAATAGGAGATAATCTAAATCTAAAAAATTAGGAAATGGGGGGTTAAGAAAAAACCTATTTTAAGTCTAAAAGGGTAACTTTGATATTAAATAGGGTTTAAAAAGAGATTTTAAAATATAAATAGGGTGTTGCTGATAAAAAAAAACCATGAAAATCTTTGATTTTTATTTTCAACTGACATGATCATATCATAAACTCATAATTTTATCAACATTTGACTAAGATATGACTTTTGGAGAAAAATCTTGCTGAGCTTTAAGATGATAAACAGAGGCATGAAGCGTGTAATCTATAGATTCATTTATCGCCAACTAATATGGAAATAAAAAGTAATTGTGATTTGAAGAGGTCTTGTCTGTTTCTCGGCCGCCTACGTACTATAATGAACTAAAAATACAAGACGGCAGATACTTTTCTTCTGAATATGGAAAAAAAAAAAAGTAACTGTGATTTGAACATGTCTTGTCTGTTTCTCGGCCGCCTACGTACTATAATGAACTAAGAATACAAGTTCAAGTAATGAACTGAACGGCAGATACTTTACCGTTGAATATCTATAAGATAATATTATATAAATTTTCATTAATAAAAGGAGCCAATGCCATACTATTGCTTATACGACCAAGTCTCAGTTCTTTTGTTAACGTGTTCAATCGGTTAATAATGTCAATTATCAGTTCGTGGAAATGAATCATGGTTGCTGGCGGCTGACAAATAAGTTGATTTCTAGCTAATACAGTCAAATTATGCAACTGAGATATATGTGAACTCTTAATTTGGAGGTGGGTTATAAATTATGGCTGGGTTATCTTGAAGAAGCCCTGTCTTAGATATGGCTCTCTACACCATTCCAATGTGGCTCTTTCTTATTCTATTCCCTTTACTGCTTGTTTTACTCTTGAAAAAGATCCAATCACTCAAAATACTAAACAAGCGGCTCCCACCAAGCCCTCCTAAGCTTCCAGTTCTAGGAAATTTACACCAACTAGGAGAGTTGCCTCATCAATCTTTGAGGTTACTCTCTAACAAATATGGACCGGTCATGCTTCTAAAACTTGGTCGTATACCCCTTACTGTAATCTCCTCCGCTCAGGCGGCAAGAGATGTCTTAAAAAATCATGATCTTGACTGTTGTAGCAGACCACCCTTGACAGGAACCAGGAAGCTTACTTATAATTATTTAGATATGGCTTTCTCACCATATAGTGAGCACTGGAGAGAGATAAGGAAAATATGTGTTCTTGAGCTTTTTAGCCTGAAGAGGACGCAGTCATTTCAGTTCATTAGGGAAGAAGAAACCGCTTTTCTAATCAATTCGATCTCAGAATCATCATCTTCTTCATCTTCTGTTGATCTTTCGGAGAAGTTGTTTGCTCTTACAGGAAGTATAGTATTTAGGATGGCTTTTGGGAAGAGATTTCGAGGGAGTAAATTTGATAATCATAGATTTGAAGAATTGGTTCATGCTGCTGAGTCTGTATTAGGAGGTTTCACTGCAAATGAGTGTTTTCCTTACATAGGTTGGATTATTGACAGATTGACCAGTTATCATGCAAAGCTTGAGAGAGTTTTCCATGAATTGGATACTTTATTCCAGCAGATAATTGATGATCATCTTAAACCTGAGAGGTCAAAACAAGAGGTGCAGGAAGATTTTATCGATGTGATGCTAAAAATAGAGAGGGAAGAAACGGAATCTCGGCTCTCAAAAGATCATATAAAGGCTGTACTCTTGGTAAGTAACTTTCCAGATAAAACACTTTCTAATCGCTTCAATTATTTTTAGGCCAAATTCGGTCCTTGCGCGTCTCTACACTATTAGATGCATATTGCAATTGCTTCAATTAATTTTAGGCAAATTATGGCAGTCTGTTGATTTTCAACTTTCGATTAAGGTTTTGGCTAGATATTTTGTCCTTGTAGAAAACATTGATGTTACGATCCCATCCGTAACAAGTCTTTTCACTACCAACTTTAGAGAACAGAATTATGTTTCTTAATTGCTCATTACTTGTTAGACTATGGGCGATGGGCTTTAAGAACTTGTGTTCAAGCTAAGATTGTTTTTGCTCTATATCTATGTATTTACAGGAGCCCCACCACTTTTGTTGTAGCACCTCTTATAACCAAAGCCTTTCCTACTATTAGCACTATCACTGACGGCTCTGGCTATAAATCACCTAATTGTCTTGATTATTTTATGAAATTAAGTAATTAATTAAGCTCCTAATTAACTCTGTATATTTTGTTATATCGGAATATGTTTTTGGGTGGAGTAGACACGAGTGCAATTACTGTGATCTGGGCAATGGCAGAGCTAGCCAAGAATCCAAGATTGATGCATAAAGCACAAGACGAAGTTAGAAAGTGTATCGGACAGAAAGGAAGAGTAACTGAATCTGACATCGACAAACTTGTATATCTGAAGATGATAATCAAAGAAACTTTGAGATTACACCCTCCTGCCCCACTATTAATTCCAAGAGAAGCTATATCCCAATTCAACGTTAATGGATACAACATTTACCCAAAAACACTAATCCAAGTTAACGCTTGGGCAATTGGAAGAGATCCTAAATACTGGAACAACCCTGAAGAATTCTCCCCAGAAAGATTTATGAATAACTCCATTGATCTTAAAGGGCAAAATTTTGAGTTTTTGCCATTTGGATCTGGTCGAAGAAGTTGTCCCGCTATGCATATGGGATTAATAACATCGGAACTTGCACTTGCAAATCTCTTGTATTGTTTTGACTGGAAATTACCCAATGGAATGAAGGAGGATGACCTGAACATGGACGAGTCAGCTGGGGTGAGCCTTACAGTTTCAAAAAAAATTCCTCTCATCCTTGTGCCGGTCAATTACCTCCAGCAGCCGTGAGTAAATAAGACAGGGCTCTAGATCTCTATATAAATAATGTAAAATAATAATGTGTCAACAAGCAGTTTTGGAGTCAGGCCTTCACTTGGTGCGGTTTTTGAAATGACTTTGCAGCTGCAAAATGTTTTTGAACTTGTTCTAATCATCTTTCCTTGCAGCCGTAGAACTTCTCGGGGGGATGAGGACCCATCTTCAAAGCTCTGCAATATTCTATATTTGATCTATTAATTTGGAAAAATATGCCACATGTTCCGTTTATATATAAATTTTGTTTTTTCAGTGAGTTTTTATTTAAACAATAGACATAGCTTTAGATCATAAGTTTGGATCGGTTTTTTTTTTTTTTTTTTTTTTTTTAAATAATTCCGAAATCTTTTACCTGGTTTACGAACTTGAGTTTGAAACTGAAACCTCAAAGAACTTTATAATTTTGGAAAAATTGAAAATAATGACTTTTGATCATGGAAATATCTATAGCAACACTCAACCTAAACTCTAAGGATGTTTGGCTAGATATGATCAACTTGGTGGGTATTTTATATTTATATGTTTAGTTGGGAGGAATAATAGATTTATAGGAGATCCTTTTACTAAATTGCCCTTATATTTTAATAATATATTATTGTTGTTGTTGTTGTTATTATTAATTTGTATTTTATCATTGAATCCGCAACATTTTAGGTTTAGCTAATTTTGAAATTTAACAAAAACACCCCAGCCACGTTCCCATCATTGCCAGCCGCCGACCACCACAACCAATCACCACTGGAATGGCGCATGACCGGCTGGATCTGGTCGGCCGTGTGTTGATCTGGTCGAAAAAAATCATATCAATTATAGTCGTTTCCAGCCATATCAATGGTCGTTAACGACCATATCAATTAATAGTCATGGATCTAGCCGTTAAAAGCCAAATCTATTCTGACGTCGTACACCATGAATCTGGCCAAAAATAGCCAGAATATATTTGGCTGTTTTCGGTCAGATCTACTGTGATTTGGCCAGATCGGTGCACAACTGGCTAAATCTGACCAGTCGTGCACTATTCCAACAAATACCGACGGCAGCCAACAGTCATCTTGGGTGGTTGGGTGTTATGTAAATAGTTTTTAGTATAATGGCATTACGATAAAAAAAAAAAATTATTACCTAGGGATAAGATTAATTTTATGTAAAATGAGGGGTATTTCTGTCCAAAAAATAATTTATTAGGGTATAAAAGTAATTTCAATTAGTTGGTCAATTTGTTATTTGGTTGACATACGAGGGCATCTCTGTCCGAAATTTTTAATAATTAAGGGTAAAATGGAAACAAAATTAGGATTACCTCGGTAATGAAAAAATAATACCCCTTTACTCGGTAATTAGATTACCCCCAAGTTTACTTACAGTAACCATTATTGATATTTTAAGATTATCATAATCTTTTTTTACTTTTAAATCAAACATGGGTATTTTCAGATTAAAAGATAGATTACCAGATTACATTGGCTAAGTTTAAAAGCCTTTACTAGTTAAAGATTGTGCCAAGAGATAACTCCCATGGCTGGTATTACATGTAGGTGGCAACTAGAGAAGCCAATATGTAGAAGCCAATATGTAGGTGCACTAGAGCCAATATTATTTGTAATTTTAACTTTTTGTTATATCATGTTAAGTATAATAAAAGGTGTATTTACTATATCATGTAATTCATAATATTCTACGTATTGATGTATATCTTTAGAATGGTTGTGCCATGATAAAGGAATCAAGTGTTTTAAATTTTGATTGTGAGGACCCTATGATCACATATGGTGGCTATTTCAGAAATGTTCGTAATCTTAGTATTATTTTGACTAAGGGCACAAATATTATGGTAAGATTATCATAGTGTTGAACGACCCTACCGAAAGGTAATGACATATCTCACATGTCAAAGTTGTTTGGTGACAACTTGGTGCAATGAGTGGGTGCTTGTTGTATGTAAGTTCACTAGATTGACCTACCAAGAGGATTTCATATAGATAGTAACCTTAGTGTCTATGGAACATATCTTCTAACGGATGGTGGTGCATGTGATCCTTAGACTTGAGATTACTAGAGCGTCGTGTGTAAATATTGGTGTAGTTTGATGCTAGCTTAACGTAGTTCTATTTAGGATTATCAATACGGTGGTGGTTGACTATATTAAGATGCACAATAACACTATGACTATGGTGGATAAACAAAGAATTTATCACTCCTCGGTACAAGAGAAGTTATCTCATGATGCTATTCAGTTAATTACAACGATCGTAAATCTATGGCTACAGTGGAATTGAGTTGTTGCTCAAATCCAATTTTATTTGGTTGTTGGTCTAATAACTGAATGTCAATATGTCAAGGCAATATATTTGAAGTTGACAATATTTTTGTACTTCAAACCTTGATGGGATAATAGATGATGAAGGGATTGAATTACACTGTAACCATACCGTTGTTAGGTATCAATTCTTCGCTAATACCTATATGTTAGGTAACCATGATGCCTTGCTAGAGGTCAATCCTGGTTTGTCTATAGTGAGACGATTAATTGGTGGTTAATCTTGATACTACTTATTGCCAACATTATAGGGTGGCGAAAAAGTATTTGGGTAATTTTGTTGTGAAATTAAATTTGCAGAGGTTGTTACCTAATCCCAATATTTATATTTGAATTTAATTTGCAAAATTGTATATTTATATGTTCATTCCAATAAATATATAAATATAACTATAAATTAATAGGTTATTATTTAATTAAACACCAAAATGATTCTATTCTAATTAGGAATAAAAATTAATTAAATACCAAGTTATGTCTATTCCAATTAGGAACAGGAATTAATTAAATACTAAATTGAATCTATTCCAAATAGGAATAGGGTTAATCCTATTCGAAAGTATAAGTGTATTAATGTTAATAGTAAAAATTTAAATGATATTATGTTACTGTTTGGTAGTTTTAAGATTAATGAACTTTTAATTTCGTATAGAAATATCATATTATTTATAATCACTTAATTAGTCAATAAAATAGGAATCTTAGGGTGCGTTTGGTTCAGTATTTCTACCCATATTCCCAATCCTATTCCCCAAATATTGTTTGACACATTATTCCAGAAATATTAGTGAATTTTTTAATTACTTTTAGACCTCTTAAGTTTATTAATTTCACTAAATAACCCCAGAAAAAAGTTTAAAAATTAGCAAAAACACCCCCGTCCACCCATGCTTGCCAGATTATGGCAACCACCGTCGGTGGTAGCCGAAATCTGTCACAACGGCTTAAACCAAGCTCGGAATTGATCGGTTATTCATCGATTTGGCCTTTTCCGACCAAATCCATAGTGGATCTGACGGCCAAAGAAACTTGGCCATCGTTGACCGAAAACTACAGCCATATCTTTGACAGTTGCTGACGGCCAAAGATGGACCTTTGCGGCCGTCGACGACCACATTTGGGCGTAGATCTGACATTTTCCATGCGTTATGACACAGATCCGACCGGTCTGTGTCGTAACGAAATTTTTCGGCTAGATTCTAGCAGTGACGTCGGAATCTGGCATTGCAGGTGGTAAGGGTATTTTTGTCATTTTACATATTGGGGTGTTTAATTAAATTAGTAAAACTTGGGGTTTTTTTTTATAAATTTTTAAATTTTACCTCGTAATACTCCTCTATCCAACTACCCAAAATTATTCCCAAAATCCTAAAATAGGAATCTTAACTATGTCTGAAGTCAACTTTTCAACTAAAATATAGTTAATGAGGAGCCAATAGTTTTAACCCTTTAATATAATATATATTTTAGGTGAGACTTCGTATTAATAAAATTACACTTAAATATCTTTTTTTTTTTTTTTTCTTATATACAATTTATAAAAATACAATTTAATCAAAATATATTTATAATTTAACCTAAACTTAGTTTATTAACGTTTAATGAAATAGTAAACATAATAAAAATAAAAAAAGTTTGTTTAATTTAATCTATCAAATTAAATATTATTTGTATCTAGTAAAGTGGCCAATTGAGATTGATTTTCAAAAGTTAAAATTTGATTATTTTATAATCTTTGTAAAATTAATGTTTAATAATATTTTGAAAAGTGATTGTCTTAGGATCTCCTTCATTTATGGAAGAAATTTTAAAAATCAGATGGGTTACTTTTAAGAGTTGATTATAGAATAATATAATACTTATTATATCCTTATTATTTTATTTGAAAAAACATTAATATCCTATTAATTATTGACTTATGGTATATCGGAAGGACATTAATAATATTATTATCTTTTTTTATATTTTAGTTTTAATATAATTATTGAGTATATGTTAAAATTAACATGGTTTTATTTTTCATTTTTCATTTAAAGATAATTGATATATTCTAGCCATTATATACTATCTACACTATAATGTCAAGTTAATTTGGTCATTATACATAATCAAAATATTTAATAATTAAATTAATCAAACGTCTAGATATTACTTTTAATTTATTCAATTGTTTTCAAAGGGAAATTTATCATTAGAAGTCACAATAATACTCAAGCAGCCCAATTAATTATTATTACAAAGTAAATGTCAGTCCATAATGCTAAGAATATGATAAATTAAATATCTATCACTTGCAGTTAAAAAATTAGGATATGAATTTGAGAAACTTAGCATTACTCATCTAACATTTTGAATAGGGGTCAGCGGTTCCGGGTACCCTATATTTTTCGGGGAAACTGGAACTGCATAGTACAGGTACTCAAAAAATGGAATCGGAACTGGAACTGCATAGTGCAGGTTCTTAAATTCAAGGAACCGGAACCTAAAATGCATGTTCTGGTTCCTTTTCCGAGTACCTTAAAAAAAATCAATTACCACCCCATTAGTTTAAAAATGACAAAAATACCTTAATTTTACAAATACATCCCTAACAAATTTTTATTACTCATTCATTTGTGTCCAATGTGACTCATAAATCCTCTAATCTCTAGGCAACACTTGAATCCAATCGATTTATCACAATTCACATAAAATTTCTCAATCAAAACCAAAACACAAATAATTAATTAAATAATCATACTATAAATCTATAATTTAATATTATAATTAACTAAATTTCTAATTATTTAATTAAGTATTGTACTAATGTTTATAATGAAATATTATAATTAATTAAGTAATCATACTATAAATATATAATAATTAATTAAATTTTTAATCATTTAATTAAGTATTGTACTAATGTTTATAATAGAATGTTATAATTAATTAAGCAATCATTTAATTGAGTAATCATACTATAAATTTATAATGTAATATTATAATTAATTAAATTTCTAATCATTTAATTAGATATTGTGCTAATATAGAAAATTACTAATGTTTATAATATAATGTCATAATTAATTAAATAATCATTTCATTATGTAATGTTATAATTAATTATGTGATCATACTATAATATAATGTTATAATAAATTAAGTAATCATACTATAAATTTTTAATATAATATTATAATTAATTAAATTTCTAATCATTTAATTAAGTGTTGTCCTAAGGTTTATAATAGAATGTTATAATTAATTAAATTTCTAATCATTTAAATAAGTAT